GCGTGAGCTGGCAACATTTGCTGCCACTGCTGCTGCTGCTGCTGCTGCTGCTGCTGCTTGCTGCCTGTGGTCGAGTAAATTGTTCAATAGATTTAGTAAAGCTGAGAGGGAGCAACTATGTGGGGAATGACTGACAAAAACGGGCATCATTTTATACAAGCATACAAGAATGAGCTGGCTTAAATTCACTTGAAGCAGGTTTTATGCTTCAACAATTTTGTGAAATTCAATTTATGTTACCCAAGGACATAAAACATATACCGAATCATTACACAGAGACAGAAAGCAACTCAGAGAGAGCGAGAGAGAGAGAGAGAGAGAGAGAGAGAGAGAGAGAGAGATGGGCGGGGCTAGAGCGTGAGTTACATGTGTGCTTAGTTGGAGCACGTAAAATATCAGTTATAGTCATGCATACAGCCCTGTGTGTGTGTGTGTGGGTGTGCGTGTGTGTGTGTGGGTGTATGGATACTCCCTTATAACAGACGTGCAATGACGTAGTCAAAGCGTCAAATGCAGCAGCGAGAGCAGTCTGTCAGTCGAAGTCTGGCTGAGTTGCTTTCGTTTTCCATGGCATTGGATACGGCTACACTCCTGCTGCACACTCCAGCTCCTGCCGCTGCACCAGACTCCTGCTGCCGACGATACAACTTCAAAGTCCAAATGCGCAACGATGCCAAGTTTAATGATAACCTCTAAATAAAAAGGCCAACCGAACTGTTTGAGCTCTCGGATTGCAGGTCGACTCTGTAGGGCGAATCCTCGTCGTCCACGTCCTCGCCGTTGTAGTGACACTCACACGTAGCAAACATAAATTTCACTTTATGGTTTGTTAACGAGTTAAATTCGAATACAGTGCAAAACGCACAAAGTTTGTCATTTGCTGGAAGCCGGAAGAAAGCCTCGAGCCGCATCGAGGAAGGATTCGGGCCAGGACTACGACTGCTTGTGCTAGTCGCAAAACGTGCCAGACTGTGGAGCGTGATAAGTATTATTGTTAATGGTGCTAGGGACCGAAACGTTTTAGTGGAAAACTTACTTTGCATTCACAGTCGCTTTATGAAGAGCTTTAACTGGAAACTCTATCTATTTTATTTCAATTAGTTTCAAATTTCAGAGCTGCTCGCTGCGTAGTCTGTTCTGTTGCCTTAGCTAATTAAAGTCTGTTGCAGCATTTGCTCAGCTGCTCCACAATCGTGTTGTGAGGCGCTCTCATATACATATCTCTTTGTTTATGGCTCTCAAACTCGTTTCGCTGCTTGTCAAGTATTTTCCCCAAGGCCTTGCCGTTTCATTTTTTGATACAATGACAGATTACAGCTACCCCCGAGCTGCAAATAATGCTAAGCTCCTGTTTGGGGTATTATATGGCTATAATCTACACAGTTCTCTTACTCTCCATCCCTCTCTCTCACTCTCTCTGTTTGTTTCTCGCTTTCATCTGCATTGATTAGCCTTGGCGAGCCACGATTGCATTTGAAGTTCTCATTCCTTGACGACTTTGCTCATTAGCGTTTCATAAATTTGATTAAGACAATCCCCTGAGTATTTGTTGTGTCTGGCCTGTCTCTTTATTTGTTTGCAACCAGCAGTTGTTGCTGTTGTTGTTGCTGTTGGGGTACAAAGCAACCCTGCAACATCTGTCAAATTAGCACAGAGCCAACCACCAACTGCAATATATGTAGTCGGCCGTTGGCTTATGGAGTGGGGGTAGGGGTAGGGCGATGCAGACTCGGTACCGTCATACATATCATAAGGTCTTTTACAATTTTGACGCCAGTTAAATTGGATTAATTTGCATTAATATTTATTAGACGCAAATGCTGAAGGCAGTCGACAGACATGAGACGACATCACAGGGATTCGGAATCCGGCTGGATGGATGGAGAGCGGGCTACCCTCTGGCCATTTAAGTGGCCATTTTCATATCAGGCAAGGCGGAGGACATAAGGACTGAATGAAGCATTTGCAATGCAGAAAAAGGCGCACACAAAATGGCAAAAAGGATGTAGTATAAGCAGCAGCAGGAGCAGCAGCAGCAGCAGCAGGAGCAGCAGTAGCGACGGCGGCAGCAGCAAAAGATGCAGAAGCTGAAGGAGCGCCAACAACGTGGCTAAAATGTGCACTTGGAACTGTCAAAGCAAATATGTCAAACATCGTCGACGTTTGTCCTTCGTCCTCTCGAGCTGCAGCAAATTTTTCTATTTGCTTTGCTTTCCAACGTTGTTTGCGCACATATTGAATGCGCGTATATATATATGTGTGTGTGTGTGTGTGTGCGTGCATGTCTCCTGGCGCGACTCCTGCTCCTGATGTGTGCATTTGTTTGTTAGCAAACATGTAAGTTGCCTTTGGCCAGCTACGGGTAGCGCACAGCCCTCCAGGGGCTAGGCCATAGAGTGAGTGAGAGAGACAGAGAGAGAGAGAGAGAGAGAGAGGGAGAGAGGCAGAGAGGAGCCAGACAACAGAGTCAGTGTACGACAGGCAGCTTGCTTCAATCATGTGGCACTTGGCTCGCCCCGAAATCGAAAATTCTCCTTTGCTGCTACATCTTCTGCTACGGCTGTTGCTGCTTCTTCTCCTACTTCTTGTTATTCTTCTTCTGCTTCTGTTACAATGCAGGGAAATTCCATTCAGTAGCTTTTCTTGCTGCCGACTCCATTTTTGCGACTGCATTGTGCCCGTTTCGTAGCGTATCTTTTTCCCTCATTCTATACCAATTTTTCTGTATTTTGGCAAATACTTCATACTTTGGGGCCCCGTCTAAGCCCCGCTCCCCCCACACACCGTCGCCTGTCAACTCGCTTTTGGCCGTTGCTGTATTTGATTTCTCAAAGTGCGCGTTTGGAAATTTGATTTTGGCCGTTGCTGCTTCTGCTGCTGTTGTTGTTGTTGTTGCTGCTGTTGCTGCTGCTGCACTCGCAACTGCTGCTTTAGATGCCATCTGTCAACTCATCTCAACTCAACAGCAATCACAGACACACTTCTCAGGCGTCCGCACACACAGCGCACTCCAGACGCCATTCATTGTCATATGAGTGTTGAACTCAAAGCTCCAAACTGCGACAGGATGCAAGCAAATGGCGAATTCCGCTCACATACGCACTCTCTCTCTATCTCTATCTCTCTCTTTCTCTAATAGTCAAGAAAAAATACTTTATATTCATGTAAATAATCTAAATACTAATGCAAGCTTAAGCTATCTCTATAAACTCTCTCTCTCTCTCTCTCTCTCTCTCTCTCTCTCTATGTCTCTCTTTCTGCTCTACACTTAGGCATCTCTGACCAAGTCAAACATTTCTCTATAATGACGTTTCGCAGGTTAAATCTCAGACTCTCCATTCGATATTCATTTGAATAATCTAAGCTCTAATTGCCATACATACCTATAACAATCCATACCTACCTCTCTCTCTCTCTCTCTCTCTCTCTCTCCCTCTGCATTTCATTTAGCCTCGCACCAACCAAAAGCAACTCGTAAGCCAATAATTTCAGCTCCATCAGCAACAATTCCCTGTGTAAGTCCGAGCTGCAGCATTTGAGGTAACAAATGACAGTCCGTTTATGAGGAGCTGAGCAACAAATGAGGCATTCATCATTCCAGGAGCCACCCAATCAATTATACAAGTTCTTTGTTCCACTCTCGCTTCCTCCAACCTTCCCTCAACCACCCTCTCTCTCTCTCTCTCTCTCTCTTCCTCCCTCTCGCTTCCACACAATTAGAGGCATTCAGAGAACTGCCCTTTATGGCAATTAGGAGCTCTTGAATGCTGGCTATGTAAGTGGACGAGTATATCAACATAAATCTCAAGTCCTCGTTTGCCCTGTTGAACTCTAAATATGAGCGCCGGCAGCCAAAAGGCAAATGCCAATCGTCGTGCCTTCAACTGCATTAATAAGCCATGGCCCAAAAATGAAGAGAAAACTTCTTAACTCACTCGCCTCACTCGCTTCTCCCCGGGCCACAGCAACGCAGCTCGTAAACATAATAGAAAACAATCAGGCTAAAGCAAACTCTAAAGATGATACTCTTCCAAAAAGGACATTATGCCTCGGAGTATCTCTGAGTTTTAAGGGCGAAAAGCAGATAAGGAGAATAGTTTATAATATGACTATGAATAGCTTCTCGTTTTCCTATTAGCTTCAGAGTCGGATTATATTTTTTATCAATATAATATTTGCCTCATCAGCTTTTCAGTTTCTCTAGTGAACTGCTTCACTTAGCTGTTGTTCCCGGCTTGTTAGTAAAATAGAAATCCGAGCAGCTCTTCTCTCTTTCTCTGTCTGTCTCTCTCGCTCCACTCTCAGAGTTGGCAGCAAATCATCATTAATATTCCAAAAGTTGTGGGCGAAGCTTTCAGCACAAAAAGTTTTCTCTTTTTTTTTTTTTTTTGGCAAAAACGTAAAATTTTTTACCGTGTTTAACTTGGCGTAAATTGCGCGCTATAATAAGAGGTGCTAGAGGTGCGAGCAGGTGGTTGGGCAGGTGGTTGGGCGCGCTGTACAAGGTTTAAGTCCATCTTCAATTAATAATGAAGGTGTTAAATTGTCGAAATCTGTGCGGTGGCGCCACCTAGCGACCTACATTGAGCACACACTACGAAGCAAAAGCAACAACAGCAACAGCAACAGCAACAACAGCAAGAGCATCAACTATAACAACAGCAACATCGTCGGCTAATTAATGAAAATGCTTTGAAATAATTATGCATAATTTTTAGTGTATACATTGAGCAGTTTATGGCTGAGTTATTACAACAGCTGCTGTCGAAAGTAATTAGCATATGACCGAAGGGCCATATTGCAGCCAGTGGGCGGGCTCGGAGGTGGGGGCGTGGCTATGCGGTAGGTGCGAAATTGTGGGCTGTGCAGGAGCTTTTGGGCCAGCATATTTATGGCATGGGAATGCATTTGTGAATGTCGAAGTCTTCTAGGCGAAAGCAGTTTGACAACTCGATTTCAAAGTAAACAAATGAGCGACACACACTCACACACAGACACTTACACACACACACACTCTCTCATCTACAAGTTGCATTGCTCAACATGTTTTCCATTTCGAGTGTAAACAAAATTCTAATACGTAGAACATATTGCTGGAAAATTGCTTTCCTTTCGGCAACAGCAACAGCTACCAGCAATGGCAACTGGCAACTGTCGATGGGCAGCGGGTAGCAGGAGGCGGAAAGCGGGAGGCGGGAGCAAAACCGAAAACCATTGTTAACAACAACAACAACAGCAGCAGCAGCAGCAGCCAGAGTAGAGCCTGCAAAGGAGAAAAGGGCGGGCAGCCCAAAGGGGAGGCGTGGCGTGTGTGGCAAAACTGAACGAAGAACGTCAAACTTTTGATGTTGCAATTTGTAATTCAAGCAGAAAACGAAGCGAGCAAATTTTTCCTTTTTCTTTTCTTTTTCACTTATTCGTTTTTCCTTTCGTCTTCTTTTTGGCTCTGCGGACGAATATGTGAATGGCTAAATGTGTGTGTGTGTGTGAACGAGTGTGGATGTGTGTGGGTGGGCGTGTATGAATTCTCTTCCAGGAACTCACAAAACACATCGAGTTGAAAAGGAAATGCTCTGCAAAAAGCAAGCTGAATAAAATGGAGAAATTATTTCATAGATATCATAAACAGATGAAGCTGAAGATAAACAAATAGCAGATCAGTTAATATATATGTTAATGTAAATGTATGTACATGTATATCTGTAAAAATGCATTAGAAATTGATTGATCTATACTTGTTGATTTAAGAGATGAAGAAAATCTGTATATATAATGTTATTGTTTAATATATATAATAGTTAATAATTATAGAAATTTATCCAGCCAAATGTATAGTTTACTGAATAGTAAATATTCATGAAAAAGGTTCAATATGATAAAGAAATGTTAACAGCTAAGCGTAATAGTTATATAGTACTTATCTATTATAGTTGTTATGATGAATGGAATATCGAAGAAAACTATTCTATATTCTTTCTATTGATCAGATTGATTGATTTATTCAGGAATTTTCTCATTTTGATATTGCAGCTGAAAGTTTGGTTTACTAAGGACTTAATATTTATATTCCTTAAGATGATAAAAAGTATTATAGCTCAACTATAGCTACAGTTATAGACACACAGTATGAGCTTTAATAAAACTTCAATGCARTTTGTTGTTGTTGCTGCTGCTGCTGTTGGTTGCTGCGGCATGCCTCGGCGAGTGCGCAGCGGAGTCTGCTTGAATTTTCTTCATCAGATTTAGCCCATGGAGTTTTCTTTTCTTTGGGCTGCAAGTGTAGCAAAATTCCCTTCGCTTTTGTTATTGCTGTTCTTGTCGTTGTTGTTGTGTGTTTCGAGCCAACCATAAGAAAACTTTGGCGCTTGAAATATTGTTAGCCCTGCTGCTTGCCTTGCCTCGCCTCGGCTCGCCTCTTTAAGAGGAAGCCGCAAATAAATAGAGACGAAGTGCGGCCCTCTGGATGGGGGGGACACAGCTGGCAGTCCGCCGAGGCATTTCGAAATGTTTTTGCAAGTTTTCAATTTGGCCATAATCCGGGGCACTTGTTTAGCGGTTCAGTGTCCAAATACGACCGGYCCGACCGTGTCTGGCAGTAAGTAAGTATTTTTCATATTTCTGGGATTATCATTGTTAGGCTCTGCCGCCTCAGACCCGCCCCTGTCATTAGACCCGTCCGGGCATTAATTGCTTAAAGATTAAGACTGTTGCCTTTCAGCGTTTCACCTTCTTCTTCTTCTTCCTTCTGCTGCTCTCCTCTCATATTTTGCGCAAACTCAATTGCTGTTTACTTAGGCCGCGTACCTAGCCAGAAGTGGGGAGCGTCTCGATCAAAGGCTTCACGCTTCGGCTGCGCTCTAAGAGCTGCAGCGCAGCTGTCGACGACGTCTTCAACCCTTTTGTGAGAGCGCAGCACAAAGGAGCCTAAATTTCTATTTATTGGCAATTTAAGTGCGATATAAATAATTTGCTATTCAGGTAGCAAAACTTCGCCTGACTTTGATGAAGCATGTGAACGATCCGGCGTAGATCCTGCCAGCGTAGATAATGTTTTTATCATTCTCAATTTGCTAGGGTTGAATTAGCTCGATTTAAATGTTTGCCTCGCCCTCTGAATGGAGCGAAGAATTCACTTTTGTTTGCGGCCAGGCCCTGACGATTGGCTTTAATTGATTACGCGTTATTTTTCATTAAGCATTTAGGGGCGGGTCTGCGCTGTGGCTCACTTACCGCTCCGGCGGTGCAGGGTGGTGCGTAATTCAAGCAATTGATTCTCGTGTGTGCTCATTATGTATTCCCTGTATTTTGCACTGCTCTCTGAGTGATTATGTTCAAGCAAAGCCCGTTGTGGTTGAGTGTAAAGCTTCATTGCCTAGCAACGTCTAAATTGTATAATTAATTAAATTATTTAATTTGGCTTTGTACTACAAATAGATGCGTTCACCCAAGAACTGAAAAAACAAATACAAGGAAAATCCCTCAAAAGCGCCACATCATGCCCGCCCATGCAGCCCAGCCACGCCCCCACCTGGCCGCAGTCAACAAAAACCTTGTTAGTAATTGCGGTAAATGTGATTAGAAACTTTGGTGCAACGTCCTTCTCCTTGGCAATGCTTTCCCCCATTTGATTTTTAGCACCAGAAAAACCAAAAACTTTTAACCTAGACACCCACGCATACACACACTTAGACACTCACCCACGCACACACACACACACACACACACACACATATATAGAGCCGTAAATAGTTGGCCTTTTACGTGCGTTAATGATGTTTTCTCAATCAAAAAGTTAAATCTCTCAGAGCGCAAGAACAAATTTCTCTAGCTGCCGAGGCACGCAAAAATGTGTTGCCACAAGTAAAAAGAGGGGGGAGTGGGGAGGGGCGCTGGCGGTTACCACAAGGCCTGCGTGTTAAGCGTTTTAGGAACTGTCGCTCCAAGGACCGTGGGGTTCGAGCTCTCGCTGCTGCCAGCGAATCGAACAAGAAAAGCTAATTACAAGTAGCGAAAAAGTTGTGCGTGTTGTGCGCCTCAATGGTGGACCAAGGGCTCAGGTAAGTGCGGCACAGACGAGGTGTGAGGAGCGAGCAGCAGACGTCTGATTTAGCACTGAAAGTATATGGAGTACAGGGTGTTTGCTTTGGCTAAAACACCTGTTCGAAACTGTTTGAAACTTTGATTGGTTTTTATATGATGGTGATTTTTTTTCTCGTTCTCCTGGCTCTTCTTCTTGCTCGCAGACAACTTGGCCAAATGTGTCAATAATTGGCCTAGAATGATTTTCGGGGGCCAAAAGTTTGCCAAAAGCAGAAAACTCTTAACACAAACACTGATTAGAGAGCCAAACAAATTTTACAATTTGATAAATATTTCTCACTGAAGCAGCGTAAATAGGGCTCATTAAAGCCCAGCAAAAAAAAAAAA